TTTTAGCTGCTCGAGCTCGACTCGATAAAAAATTACAATAGCTCGAGCTCTACTCGAGCTCGACTCGAAATCAAAATGCTCGAGCTTGGCTCGAGTTCGACTTGAAAAATAGATAAATTACCATTAAACACATATGCTAATATATATTGAGGGGCATTTTAGTAATTAAAGTAATTCTTCCTCTTTCGAAGACGATGAGGACGGCTCTCTCGATCTTGGTTTTGGAAATCAGGTCATTTGTGGCATGCGGGAAGGGCTCGTGCAGCTGCAGCAGGATTTGAAAAAGGAATTGATCGTGATTTTGAACCTGTTCTTTCCATGACGACCTCCCCCGTAGTCCCCGTAGTTGTAAAAGGGTACACGGGTTTCCTTCTAGTTTGCTAGTTTGATATCTCGATCCGCTCGACGAACCGTTTGACAAGACAAAATATGGGTTCGAGTTCGTGATTGTGGTCATAAAATCAGAAAGCCGCTCAACTCGTTTGCAGCCCTAAGGTTGTACATTTATTCGAAAATTTGGTCAATTCTTGGATTAAAACCGAAAAATAGCATTCAGGTCGATTTCAATCCGAAAATCCAACGATTTTTTCATATCGGTAATCCGATAAATTATATTTATATTATAGACAGGCGTAAATAAATCAGTTAAATTATTTATCAGGATATATATGATATGATTTATACTTGTTTTATTAAGATTGTATAGGCAAAGGTAATATATAGCTTTATTATTTTGAAAATGTAAATTTATTTATTTAAGAAAGGGAAAAATTGTGTATGTGGTATGCAATCAATTTTAAATTTGTATTTAAACAAAACCCAAATTTTTATGATGTTCCCATCCGATTTCATTTTGAATTTCAAATTATAATATTCTGACTCAGTTTTAATAAAGTAGTAGCTAAATGATAAGAGATTTTTAAATTTTAATTTTCAGTTTGAAATTTGAGTTGATTTATATGCAATTCGATTTTTTTAATAAACATGATTTGTTGCAATTAGGTAAAGATACATGTTCTAGTATTTTGCGTAATTCCATATTTCTGATTTTATGGTAAACAAATTTTTTTAATAAAAAATGAGAGAATTTTTCATGCCGAATTTTACCTAAGTTAACCCTATTTTTATGCAATCCGATTTTGTTTAATAAACAATTGATATATTGCGATTAGGAAAAGACATATGTGACAGTATTTTGCCTAGTTTGAAATTAGAGATTTATGATAATCAGTTTATTTTAATAAAAAATGAGAGTGATTATTTTTGTAAAATGGTAAGCGTCAGTCGAAATTTACCTAAATTAAATACACAAAACATATGAATTTAAGGTGCATATATAGCTGATCAATTTTTTTTGAAATAATTAAAAAAATATTAAAAAACTACCGAAAATAGAATGTAATAAATGTTGGTTGACTTTTTTGTTACTATTTTTTATAAATATGTATTCTCTTTATATATACTAGTATTCATCTTGTGTACATACACCAAAAATAAAAATTTATATATTATATGCATGCATACAATATAAAATTTTATATTAGATAATGGATGTAGTACATTTTGAATTTTGACTATATGCAAATGTGTAATGTAAATATGAATTATTTAACTTACGTATGAATATTTATATTGATGCCGTAAATTTTAATGGACAATATAATTTAGTACTCTAGAAGGATCATACATTTAATTAGTTCAAAAAGTATTACAATTATTTTTATCATTGTTATAGCAATTGTCTAAACAATTAATTATGACACTCATGCCAGATAACTAGTATTAGATAAAAATCGCTTAAAAAGACAAAAAATATTTTATTGTAGAAAAAATATTTTAAAGGAAAATTAATTGCGATAGAATTTATAAGTATGTAACTCCACATATATTTAATGTGAAATTATAATCAATTAGTGTTAGTAGTAATATTATATAATAAACTAATTTCAAATTGTTGTTATACTTTATTAATAGAAAATGCAATATTTCTACATTAATTGAAAATATGAGCAGGAAAATTACGAAAGTTTTATTAAAAATATTTTATTTAACACATCTGCCAGCAACTATATATATAATATATATATAATATATATGTGAGTTCCAGCCACAATAAGAAATAAAAAATGTGGTATACAGACACACACAAAAGTTTCACATGGTGGCCAGCCACAACAAAACAAAAGCCAACTATAGTTTAAAAAAAAATCCAGCAAATGAGATGCTAATCACAATTGAAAAAGTAAGCTGTCATGAACCTTTTCTTCAGTATAAATAGTTGCGTTTGCAGTGCTGAAGGAAGCACCAAGCAGAAGAAAGAAAAAGAGAGAAGAAATAACATCTTTGAGTGTTATTGTCCAGTGAGATAAAAATAGAGTGTTTGAGTAAATCCTGTGAGTGTGGGATAAATACATCGGGTTGGGTATCAACTCTATTACTCTTTGTTTAGGAGTGGGGTTCTCACTAGGTCACTATATTTTACATTTCTAGTGTAAGGGAGTGTGAAAAGATATTATAATTATCTTGAAAATTGTCATGTACTCGGTTATGGAGTGGGCCAATTTTATAGTCTAGATAATTTATGTTTTGGTATTGGGTCTTTTATGTTGGACTCATTTTATTATGTTTAGTTTTGGGCCTATATATATATTAAATAGCCCATTATGTGAATTAAGTGGTGAGTTGTTTGAGTGGCATATAGATGAGTATAAAAGGCATGTAGGAAAGTGATTTGTATTATGGAATGAATTAACAATTTTCACTCTCTCTCTCTCTTGTTTATCTCTCCTCCCAAACTCTCTCTCTCTCTCTCTCTTCAATCCCTCGTATCTCTCTCTACTCTCTCTTCTCTTTCATCTTGAACATCTTCCTCCTTCATCTCTTTATTTACAGAAAAATACAAAAATAAAATCACAAAAAAGTAAGATCACAACAATTGGTATCAAGAGCGGTCGATCCTCGGAAGATGGCCGATGAACTCAGTCTTGATTTCTTAGAACAACAACAGAAGAACTTGGAGCAAAAATTAAAGCTAGAAATTCAAAAAAGAGAGGCTAGCCATTTGAAGTTGCAAAGCCAAATAGACGGATTCAAATCAAATTTCCATGGGACGAAATCCAATTTCCAGCAGCAAATGCAAGGGATGAATGAGAAATTCGATCACATAAATGAGGTACTTGTTTCTATACAATTGCAAATCCTTAACCTTCAATCTAGGTCCCAAAAATTTGCCCCTCTACACCAGAATTTAACAAAACCATTCTCAGCACAATTGAAACCTACTCCTGAAGCTATCACTACCCCAATTTGTGTTATGAAATTACCAAACAATCCAGAATCCGATCCTATCCTTCAAAGAAATCATGAGAAAAAAATATAAGATGAAGGCTCTATGTCCCATCCTATCTTTCACAAAAATCACGAGAAAAAAATGGGAGATGAAGGCTCTGTGTTGATCAAAAACCTGATCGGAACTTCTAAACAAGAGCTTCAATATGTTGTTGTGATAGAGCATACACATATCGGTGAGTCAAATGAAGTGCCAGATCCGACATCGGTGGAAGTTCCAACGCCAAAAATGCATAAATATGAGGAAGTTCTCGACAATCCGAAGGACTTGGTGCGTGAACTCATCGTTGAATCTGTTGAAACTCCAACACCTTACCATTACCAACATCTCTTAGAATTGGATCCAAATTCAATGGGCAAGTTGTTAGGCTCTGATCGATGGGTCCAAAGGGAAACGAAGTGCTTCGTGATAGACAGGGGAAGAAGAACACACAGCAAGGGCGGTCTAAAGAGAACGAGCATGAGGCTCCGCGGCGGCCTCGAAAAGGCTAGGTCTCGCCGGCCTCCAACACATGTAGGTAGGCATAGATCTCGTTACCGGTGGTTCTATACCGAGAAGAGCCACAACGGAGGTCGAGAGAAGGCTCGGATCCGTCAAATTTCCAGGTGCAGCAGGCGGTCGGAAGCTTGGGCTCGCCGGATTTGGAAACACGGTGGTGGATCGGGAATTCCAACGAAAATCGTGAGAGGAATTCGCAGCTACAGAGGGGCTGTGAAATAAGGCCGACGGAGGGAAGCTTGGTCTCATCGGCTTCCAAAAAATTTTAGTCGGCGTATATCTTGGTCCCGTCGGACCACGAAGGGGCGATTTTTGTTTTCACTTGCCAGGATTTCAATGACGAAGAAACACCACCACAGCGGCCGAGAAAACGATGGGATTCATCAAATTCCGATGTACAGAGGGCATTCTGACACGTGGTCTGGGCGAATTTCTCCGAGGTATGATGGCCGGAGAAGACGATCGGAGCATCGTCGATCGGAGGATCGTCGAATTTCTAATGGTGGAGAGGGAAATGACCGAAGCTTTGAGAATAGGAGAAGGTTGGCGATGGGCTATGATTCTTTTGGTGGGTTGAGTGCGGTGAGCGTGACGTACACGTGGTCACGGAGAATTGCTCGACGGTGTGATGGCCGGAGACCGGAGCTGAGAAGGATTTTGGATTTTTGGGGAAGAGTGGTCGATGAACGAAGCTTCGAGAATTTGATTTTGGTGAGGCTGCATCTGAATTTGGGTTGGAGCATTATTCAGATTTTAATTGAGTGTTGGGCTGCCTTGACAAAAATTGAATTGGGCCAAGAAGGAAAGGTGCTTGGGCTTTGGGATGGCAAGGGCGCAGATTTTGGGTTAAGGTTGGTTCAATTACTGGCAATTGAGCTGTGCCCAGTCATCATTAAATTGAAGCCATATCAAATTGAAGTGGGATATCTCATGGACCGGATTGAGATATGGACCGCTACACGAATATTTAGCTTTTGGGCATGTGATGATTTGAGGAACGTAGCCCGTTGGATGCAATGGTTGCATCTTCCACATATGAGTCTCGAGGACGAGACTCTTTCAAGGAGGGAGTATTGTCATGTACTCGGTTATGGAGTGGGCCAATTTTATAGTCTAGATAATTTATGTTTTGGTATTGAGTCTTTTATGTTGGACTCATTTTATTATGTTTAGTTTTGGGCCAATATATATATTAAATAGCCCATTATGTGAATTAAGTGGTGAGTTGTTTGAGTGGCATATAGATGAGTATAAAAGGCATGTAGGAAAGTGATTTGTATTATGGAATGAATTA